CCTGTTTTGGAAAGAGAATTCAAGTTGGTGGAAACACTTAAACACACAGAGCCTGAAACTGAATGATAAGATATAGCTCTTTTCTTTGCCTTCTGGTCTCCATTTAAATCTTGAAATTCCCAAGTTTTTGTTTTGTTTTGCTTTGTTTTCCTTTGTTTTGTATCACAGGAAAAGAAAATATTCCAGAAAAGAAAATGGGTTTGTGTCTGCCAAACCAAAAGTAGCTATTCAAAACAGAGCCCAAAGCAATTTCATTTCCCTGCCTAGAGGAATACTCCATCAGTGAAGTCTTCCAAACAATTACTGCTTGGTTTTCAGTTGTTCAGAAAATTAAGACAAAACAAGAAGCCTAATATTCCCTGTACTTAAAGCTAAGAGACTGTTTGTTTTTTAAACTGAGTTGATACCTCTCCAGTGGCCAAAAATTATGTCGACTGCTTGAGGTACCAGAGAAATTCCTGTGTCACCCGGACAAACATCACCTCCCAGGGGCAGCTGGCATTGTTATCTCTATTCTGCATGGCAGACAAGGTGTGAGGCCCTCACCTTGCCATGCTGCAGAGCCAGCTCAGCTGCTAGGAATACCCCAAGGCACACACACTTTGATGGTTTTAATAACCCATTCATTTTCCAGTTAAGACTCAGCCACTGTTGCTCGATCCTTTTCAACTAGATCAAAATTCACCTTGGCACCATTACCATCCTTGTACACTTCCCCTGGCTTTTCAAACTTAATCAAAAGAATTGAGCCCTACTGGGAAATGCCCACCTGTCACTGATTTCTTCTAGATTCTGGATGAAGTGTCCCCCAGGGATTCCCTGACTCTGGACTAATTGGGTCATTTTAATATACAGTGGTGTCAGACAAAACTAAAGTGATCCTTTGGTGCAGCCTCCAGGCCTTGGCCTCTTAGAGGTTAGAGGATCTGTGGGAGTCGAGGAACCAATATGCAGACTCCCCACACTCTTATTTGCTTACACAGATGCCTGAGTTGTGATTTTGAACCCTAAGTTCCATTTAAATAAAATGATCCTTATTCACCAAATAAGGCCAAGTAAGTAGCCAAATAAAACAGATTCAGAAAGCCACATGCTTCCTTTCTCCGCTTTCTTCCTTGTCTACACAGCCAATGCCTGCTCAACTCTCAAATTCACTTCATAGGAGATGCCCCCCTCCAGCACCTTTCAGAGTCCTGCTCAGAAGGGCACAATGCCCTCTCCTCTGTACTTTTGACACTGATGCTAACGAAAGCATTGGATTTTAGAGTTTATCAAGTTGTCAAAGACCCCCAATAATAAAGCCATGAGTATAAATTAGATCACAAAAATCCTGTACATAGGAAAACATTACTCGAGAGATGGTCCATTAATTATTTAACACCAGCCTACCATGAAGTAAGTAAAAAAAAAAAAAAAAAAACCAAAATCAGCATTCAGAAGTCTCCATAGTTAGTTGACAGTACTGGTACATTTTATATAAGTCTTAGTTTACAATTGATTGGAATTAGTACATTTTTAAAAATCAGAGTTTGAGAAGCACTGGCAGGGAAAACATAGTGGAAAGAGGGAGGAAAGGAAAGAAAATCAAGGAAGAAAATGAGGTAGAAAGGAGTTAAAGATAGTAGGAGTAGAAAAATAAAAATAATAATGCCTGTATAACTATTTATAATTACCTGAATTACGGGACTGGGCCTTTCCCTCTGTCCTCGAAGCTCTCTTCTGTTGCTCAAACCCTCCAGGCATGTGTCTGTCTCTTCCCTCTGTCTTCTTCTTTCCCAGCCTGTGCTTCCCTCCGTGGGGTTATTTGTTTTCCACACATCTTTGATCAACCTCTGCTAATCCCTGGCCACCCCACTACATGACCACGACCCTGTGAAGCATGAAATGACACAAGGCTATTTTATTCATGTATTTGCTTAGTCTTTGGGATCAATCTTTTCTCTTAAACTCATTAAGAATACACATAAAAAGTAGTGAGCAGTGGCACAGCCTATAATCCCAGCTACCTGGGAGACTGTGGCAGGAAGATCTCAAATTTGAGACCAGCCTATGCAACTTAGCAAATTCCTTTCTCAAAACAGTAAAAAGAGTTTGGGATTCCCTTAGTGGTAGAGCACTGGCATAGCATGCACAATACCCTGGGTTCAATTCCTAGTGCCACCAAAAAAGAAAAAAAGAAGAAACTGGCATGATTTATGACCTGTTCACACCTTAACTCCAGTAGTACAATAGTGTCTTATGATATATGGTTAAATAATATAGATATTCTTGTTTATATTTGAAATGCAAAGAAAATCAGAGTTTTAGCATTTTTGACCTATAGAACTTTAGGGTCTTTCCCAAAGGTATACACATAGTTTGTCAGGGCTCCAGGTAAGATTCTGGACTCCAAAAATAGTGTTCCTTCTATAACGTTGCTGGATATTTTGGGGGAATGACCTACAGAGTGTGCAATATCCAATGTGAAAATTCACCAAAGTTTCATGCTGTTGCAGTCCACTTCTACAATTCTAGACAAGGATTCCTTCAATACAAGTGAAAAATAATCACAGACCAGGAGGTTGAATGAGTGTTTCTGCTTCCAGTTGAGATGACAGTTAATCCCTCATCTATTTCCTTGTACCCAAGCCCCACGCAATTCCTTTTATCTACTCATTATCTCAGCAGTGTGGCAGAAGGACTTTGGAGTGAGGTACACTTAAGATCAAATCCAAATTTTGTTTTCTTTCGCTTAGGCAAGCTCCTATATCCTTCTCATCCTCAGTTTCTTTATCTTCTTGGTATACTTCCATTTTAGCTACTATAATGAGATATCCAAGGCTGGATTTGGAGACTAAAAGCTCAAACAGCAGGCTAGTGTACTCATGTCCCCATGGCAGGTGGCAATAGTGGGGCTAGTTTTGGGAGTATGAAGTCACATTGCAAAAGAGAAAATGAGAGTCTACCACTAGAATCTACCTAAGACTATCCACCTCTTAAAGATCCTACAACCTCTGTATCATCGCTATACCCATGACCTTTGGGGGAAAACCACATCTAAACCATGGCAGGGTGTGTGCAAGGATTAACTAAGACAACACAGGTGAAGTCCCTCCCCCACCCAACATTCAACCAAGACACATATTTCTCTTTTTCCCAGTTGAAATATTCTTTATCATTCATTAATTATGTTGGTGCAACTGGAGGGCAGAGTGAGTAGGAAATGAGTGAAGATTTACAGCCCACACAGGTACTTAAGACTCTCCAATTAACACCGTCTTGTGAACAAGGCCTTCCCATACGCACTCTCTATGGTCAGTGTCTAATCTCATACTATGTAGCTAAGAAAGTGCTGATTAGATTGACCTTTCCTTGAAAAAGGAATAACCTATGGTTCCCAATGCTGAAATTCAATTGTAAGAAGACGTGATGTTCTGGAAAGCTGAAATCTCTACCTTTCTTCTTTTCTTCTCTAGCAGGTTAAGCGGTGCAAAGAGCATGAGCTTTGGAGACAGAAAATACAAAGCTTCAAATCCAAGACATTTGCTGGAGAATTACATCACATGTCTGAATCTTAGTTTTCAGTCTATAAAACAGACATAATCTTTCTTTCCCTGAGGCATTTGTGATGAGTTGGGAGGTGATAGATTGCAGGTAATAGAAGGTGCCCAGTACACAGGAGTTTTCATTCCTTCTCCAAACAATGCGAATCACAAGAGAAATAGAGGCATGATAAGAAAGGTCTCTTCACAACACACAGTGCAGAGACATGGTAGGCACTCAAAAAACACGATGTATGAATGAAATGGAAGGGTTATTTGTTTGCCACTGTCACAGAGGGAAAAATTCTATCTCATAAAGTCTGGCTCAGTGTTCTAGATATTTAATTTGTACATTAACCCTTTTTCACAAGAATTCTCCATGCACACAGTACACTAGAGCCGTTTACTCTGAAAATCCTTCCCATCTCTCAGCTGTGTATGACATGAAATTTATAGAATTACAGAGCCCATGATTTAAGGTCATCTGGGGATGGCGACATGGCCCACTATGTGTCAGACTGGAACGTTCAAAAGTAACATCTCTATGGCTGTCAAAGTGACTGTTCTCACCTAGAGAGCTGTAGATCTCTAGGGAGAAGGGTTTCAGGCTGCCACCTTCAAAGGCAGCTGGCCTGATTTAGAAATATAGTTCATTTAAATCTGGGCCATTCACTGTACCTGGATTTTCGATTTGGACCCAACTGTTCCTGTCAAGAAAATCATGCATGAAATGCCATCCTGCAATTAGGTAAGAGTAGGAAAATGGAGTCGGCAAAGACTGGGTGTCTTGAGAGCAGCCCTCATGCTGGGCTTTCCAAAGCTATGAGTAAGTTTAGATCCCACACTTAGCAGGAGAGATGTATTGTTTGTCAGACATCAAGCCTGCTTTGCGAAGCTGTCAGTCACTGCTGTGAACTACAAAGTCACTGTGTGAACTGGCCAAGTCCCAGGAGGATGTCCACAAAATGAAAATTCAGATAAAGGAATGCCAGTGAATCCAAGATTCATTGGAATTCTTCGTAACACTGGTGGCCAGGACTCCAGAGGTCCCCCCCACCCCGCCTTGTCCCCCCACCCATCTCCATCTCCTCCGGCCTTTTGCATTTCCTTCCTTCTCAATTTTATTTTTATTTTGTTGTCTCCTTCCTTCAGTTTTGAGAAATTTATAGAGCTAAAGGAACAGTAGAAAGTAATGCAGAACATAAGCTTACAGGGGAGAGGTTTTTTTTTAAAGCAAAACAGAAAAAAAAGGATAGAAATAATACAGAATTTCAAAAAAAGTAGGAAATTAACACTAGTTAATATATTGCATGTTGTTATTTTAGAAGTAGTTGTTCAGGTTACAAGATCTAAGCACAAAAATAATCAATGACAGCACAAACTGCTCTTTTCAATGAACAACAGTGATTGGTAGTATAGTTATCTATATTGCATACATATACATACATTTATATATGATTTACCAACATACATGTCATCTTTTCCTTCCTTTTCTCCTTCCCCCTATTTTATTTGTTTAAAATCTAAACTTCTACAAATCATGCACATGGAGTTTTTTCTCCTTTCACAAAAAAAGGACTAATTGGTAGCCAATGTAATAGATTTAATTTTAAAAATAAATTAAATTCAGGGGAATATACAAGTCAATGTGAATTTAGTGCTTATCTAGCTATCTAATTTTGCTGAATTCAATAAGTCGTTTCTGAACACCTAGCACAGAAGATGCTTTTTCCTCCTTCCGTCTGCCCCAGAACAATTTCACTACAAATTTCTTTCACTCCAGCCTCCACTGGGACTAAGGTACTAATTGGAGTCTTTCTGGAGTTGACCCCTTCTCTTCCATTCTCTTTCCACTCAGGCAAATATGAATCTTTATACTGATCAAACCCGGTGCCTAATCACCATATGTGCTCTGGCAAAAAGCCCCCTCCCCCAGCTACTTCCCAACTGGAATCATGGGATGGGGATAGTAGAATGTATGCCATCTCCAACCGCTTCTCAAAACAAGTATCCTGTGGATCAGTCTTCCTCTCGCCAAATCTTTGGCTTCTCTTTGTCTTCCGGTTGTTCTCTAGCTGTATATAAATATATTTCGAGCTTTTTCATTTTGAACACGAACAAGCAGACAAACAAATCCTTCTCAAGCCTGAGATGGCCTTTCCAGATCCTTCTTTTCTTCTATGTCACAGCCAGAAATTCCTTCCAAGTCCCAAATTCAAATATCCAACTGCCTATAGGACAGCTCTACAAAGATGACTCACGTGCACGTCAGATTCTCCCAGTCAGACATAATCATCTTCCCCTGCCTTCCTGTATGGAATATTATTCATCGGAAACCTTAACACCTGTTTCCAATCACATTTTGCCTCCTACAAATGTTCCAGGCCAACCACATATGTGCCACAGTTTGCATATCATTGTCCCTTGTCTAAATTACTGTCCCCAAAATCCATGTGATGGATGTGACGCCAGAATGAGCTTCACTTGACTCAGGCTCTGGAAAATATAGAAAATACAAAGGATAGTAGAGTGAGTACTCATTCCCCTACTACCCAGAATTCACAGTGATGCTTCCAAAGCTAAAATCTTACCATGTCATCTATAATGCACAATGACTCTCCTTTGAATTTTTTTTCTTTTTAATGGCAGAAAACTTGCACATTTATTAAAGGTAGGAAAATCAGTCTCTGTTGAGCAAGTCAGGGTCAGACAAAAGTAGAAAAAGGAATAAAACAAATTTAAAAATACTGTACACTCTACAGCACAGTACGGGCTACCGTGAAGAAGCATGATAGCTATCCTTGTTGTTATATTCTTTTCAAATGCAATTGAAGGCTGACAGGACTCTCCAGGTCCTGCCACCTCGTCTCACCACACCTCACTCAGCAATCTCAAATCCAGGTCAGCGCCAACTATTTGTGATCCGACCAAAATATCAGGCTCTCTCTGCCCTGCAGCCCTTTCTTCCTCTGAAAAGAAAGAAAGAAAAGTGAGAAAAGTTGCCTGAGTCTAGAACAGTGCAGAAATATATATTAGAAAGTCCTTGGCAGTCAACCCATGCTGAAGGGATGGCTCACAGCATTACCTTAGATTGTTAAGTCAGAACATCACAGAACCTTAGATTGCTTGGAAATTTGCTTAAATTCCTCCTCTCTGGCTGTTTGCACTTAAATCTATCCATCATGCCTTGAAAGTAGATACACATGTACTATATGTTTTGTATCTTATGGCTTTTTAATGTACTCAAGGGTGTATCACACATGAAGACAGTGGCTGTAATTCTCTAAGGCTCCTGGAAGGTAGAAATCTTTCCCATGATATTCCCTTAAGGAGGTAGAGGTGATCTCTGAATTAAAAAGCAAAGAAAGTCCCTAATAATTAAGCAGTATTTTTTCATGAGGACAGAGGACGCATCTAAATGTTTCTGGCAATACCTTATTTTATGGAGATAATTAAAAGGAAGCCCAGAAGAAAGATAAATTTTTCCAGTTCCTGTGACACGTCTTACAAACTCTTGTTTTAAGGAAATGCTGGAATTTGTTTTGCTTCCCAGTTACCCTAAATGATGTCTAGAAGATGCTGTAGCCATTGTATATCAAAATTCTCTGATTTTAGTCTCTACTAAAGTCGGACTTCAAAGATACCTGTATCATTAAATGCCTATTTGAACAGGTAGAAACATTAGAGAACTACCAATGTATCATACACTGGTATATATGAATAATATATGAAAGAGGAAGAAATGGATAGTGCAGATAAGCTATCAAACCCGAATAGCTAGAAGGGAAATCATTACAATTTCTGTGGATGACATAGATGCTGGCTTTGGTTTTTTGTTTGTTTGTTTTTTCAGAATTCAACAGTTATTAGCTGGTCATACTGCTGCTTCTATAATGATTTTTGCAAAACGTGAGAAAACCAAAGGAACTCATTGTTCACTGAAAATACAGCAAGGATGGAGAAAGGAAAGGTGATCCGTGGGTGAGTGTGGTACACGTTATCAGGGGTTTTGTTGAGGAGTGATATTCCCTATGACACAGGTGAAGCTTACTCTGGAACACAACCGAATTTCCAGTGAAGTGAACTATTTGCAAAGTGATGCCATTCCAATTATACAAAAAGTACATTTTCTTCTAGAACAAGTGTTTTGGAAAAATTAAACTTGTGTCAAGATGGATATTTTAATTTGTCATGGAAATTTAACACAGATGGCTATAATTAGGGCTGTAAACTATCTTTTAATTTATTGTTTAGGATTTTATGCCATTCTTCAGTCATACTCACAATTTTCAGCTTAGCTCTAGAAGCACAATTTTGAGAAGATACTTTGAACTACATAATAGGGAAAATAGAAGGTTGGTAAAAACACATATGACAAAAGGAAAGTCTGGGGAAACTCAGCCTCCTTATGGTACAGTCCATGATACATGGAGAAGGCATATGTTTAATAATGTACACACAGACACAGATACACACATGTGTGCACACAGAGGCACATTACAGAAGTGCCATGGCTCCGAGCACTGTGAGTTCATGGGCAAGAGTTAAACCAGTCTCTTAGTAAATACACTGTTCAACAACTACTTAGCACCACCTCTGTGCCAAGTGGCCATGGATAATCCTTCATAAACGCTATCTCATTTTATTCTCCCAAAGCCATAGTTAGTAGATTATAAACCCCTGTTTTATAGATAAGAAAACGAAAATATGCTTTATTGTCAAACTACTATACAACCGTGGAAAAATTAGCAAGGTCATTTGTATCTAAAATTTGTATCTCTTTCATAAAGGCATGCTCCCCAATGTCAATTGGAGTCAAATTTGGTTTTAGAGTTAGGCTATTAGTTTATTTAAAGGAATTTATAATTTAGATATAGAGATGAGCATTTTTAAAATTCACTATATTCTTTCTTTGGTAGAGATATGTTTCATTTTAAAAGCTAAGAGTAAATATTATATTTGGCAGGATGATACTGTATAAGGTGTTAGAAATGGATGAAGGTAGCAAACTTTAGGCTGAAAATGTAATCATGGCCAAACAATAAATCCTTCAGGGACCATCCTCAAAAAGCTGAGCTTTGAATGACAATGCAGTATCTTTGAAGGATTTCCAACAGTGATGCCTTGACTTGACTCTATCCCTATCACCAAGAGGGAACAAAGCTTCATCTCAATTTCTTCTACCTTCATTTCAATTTTTCTACCAAAACTTCCCATAATTTTTATCATAAGCAAATGGAAAAATTTCTAAAGCTTTTTTTCCTGCAGAAAATTTTATTCTAGAAAAGGAAATTCCTGATATCTATGGACTTATCCACTCAGTGGGAAAGTTTTCTCTATCTGCTCACTGCGACAGTGGTGTCCCTGCCTTCTGGTTCCAGACAGAGCCCTTCTGGTTAATTCAGAGCAAAGAGGTCACAAGATGATTGCTCAGCGCCTGTGGAATGAATCTGCCTAAATAATATGTCACTAAAACACATTTCTCCCCTAAAAACACCTTTACTTACTTTTAGCTGTTTTCTCTTGGATCTAAAACTTTTATCTAACTTGAGAATCTGTTCAATGGAATTATTTCTTAGCAGACATCATGAATACTGGGTTAAATTAAAACCGTTTTTTTTTTAACATTTAAAATGATAAGTATGTTATGCCAGAATGCACCCTTTGAAATATAAAAAGTCTTTTTCAAAAATTGAAACATGGAGTATATTGTCCCGTGGTACTCACCTTCCTCTTACTATTACAAAGTACCCAAGATAATCAATTTTAAAAGAAGAGAGTTTTATCTTGGCTCACATTTTGGAGGTTTTCATCCACAGCCTATTCCTTTTGGGCCCATGGCAAGGTAGCCAGGGCTGTCGTGCATGGCAGGGGAGGCTGCTCATCTCATGGCAGCTCAGAAGCAGAGAGAAGGAAATGGGCTGAGGTCTCAGTATTCCCTTCAGGACACCCTCAAGGACCTAATTTCCTCTTAGGCACCACCATTTAAAAGCTACATCTTACTTCAATAGTGCTGCAGCCTGACAACCTGTCGTTCAACACATGGACCTTTGGGGACAGTTGTCCAAACAATAACATCTCCACAAGCTTTTCCCCCTTCTGTACAAAGGGAATGCTTCCAATGAGAAAGTGGTCCATGCTTTCATGTGAAACAATTGAAAGCCCACATTTCTGCATTCAAAAATCAAATAGTAATGGAAAGAGAATTTTTTCAAGTCCTTTCTGAATAAATGATACCTCAAACAGTTCAAGTATCACCCAGGAGGGAATTTTCTCCAGCACAGGCTGCAATTTGCCACAGGCAGATGAGAGTCTCTAACTCAGAACATATGCTGGACTTCCACCTATAAAAATTTCTACAAGCAACAGCATGTCCTGGCTAGAATAACGATGCATGATTCCTGGCTGAAAACAGTCCACAGCTCAACAGATGGCTGTCTTCTGGGGCTTACGACAGCAGGCATCAGAAATATTCTGACAAGAGTGAAATACTGACCCAAGGAGAAAAAAATCAGAGCCCGAGGAGATGGCATAGGTTTTGTAAAGTACACCATTTTCTCTGTGTGCCCTGCTGGAAGCCCTCCCAGAATGCGGCAACAGGGCTTGGTGTTGGAAGCATATTAAGGAATTTATAAAACATGAGCCACTGATGTAAATGAAATTCCATGAGTTTTGTGAATTTTGCACAGATATTTACAATTTTTGTCTCTTTATTCAGAAGTTTATTATCTCTGTACATCTAGATAATAATGCATAGTGTACCTTTTTGGCATATTCTATCTCCAGTTCCTTATTTCACCAGTGTGAATTTTCATTTATACCATGGCCGTTAAACAATGATAACTGTACATTTCATTACAACTGTAATTGTAATTTCATTACAACAGTACATTACAACTGTAAGGTCCTTGAAGGGCCTTACCCACCCATCCAGACTACCCGTGTAGTCCCCCACCCTAGACATTTCCAAAACTCAACTTGTTGTTCTTGCTCCAAACCCCAGTTCTTCTATCTTCTCCTTCTCCTGCTCAAATGAGTAAATGACTGCACCACTTGCCTTCTATTGTCCAATCCAGAAACCTAGACGTCATGTGCACTTCTTCCTTCTCCCTCACCTTTCTGGCCAATAACCAAGCCCTGTCACTGTGACAACTTAAACCTCTCTCCAATCTGTCTTTTTCTCTCCAGCTCTACTCCTGGCTCCCAGGCCTGCTCTCAACAAATCTCAGGTTCCATTTCTCTTGCTTAAAGTCATTACTATGGCTCTCCATGGCTTTTGAGATAAAATCTCTAGAGCATACTAAGACTTAGAAGCCATGTGATGTTATGGTCCTAGCTTTTATCTGAATCCTCATCTCTTACCACACAGCTGCTAAAGCTTCATACTTTAACCAGTCTGAACCCTCTGTGGCTTCCCCAAAGCACTGGGCTCTTTTTCCACAGTTCATTTGTACCTGCTGCTCCTTTGGCCTAAAACAAGTGTTTTCTACCTGAATCGTACTTGTTCTTGAGCTTTGGTGGGGCTTCTCATACCTGTAGGAAGGATCTCTTTTCTCCTGAGATTCCATTAGCTGCCCTCCCTTTATTTTCTCATAACCTTATTTTAAGTCATAGTGTGTAACCCAACATATGGGTATATGAATTCTAAGAGTATTTTGTTCTAAAATTTAGGCACAGAACCTAAAAGGTATTCAATACATAAATGTTTGTTAAATGAAGGATTGAATACTTCATGAATAATTGAACAACATACTAAATTAATCAATTTTGCTTCTGATTATTTTAGCTACTGAGAGCACAATCCTCTGCCTCTTTCCCACCACTCCACCTCACTCCCTTCCTCATTCATTATTGATTTACGCAGATCTGGTTCCTTCTACTCTTGACTTACTCCCTGCTTGGACTTGCTTAGCGTGGTGTACATGTGTGATGTGACTGTTGTTTGTGCCTTGGTCTTCCCATAGTGTCTCCAATTTGGCCTTTGCTTTTGCTTCCCAAGCTTCCTTTGGACACAGCCAGCCTCCTGGCATCAATCCTGACCCATCTGTTAGTTGACTTTTATGTGACCCAGTCACTACTTCTGCTCCAGTCCATGTATGGATAGAGGAGTCAGGTATTTTAATATATACCCACAGTACTTGGAGCACCTCCTCCAGACTCAAACATAAGTGTATCATTTGCACTTCTTTAAATCATAGCTGTGATACTAAGGCAATTAAGTAGCAGATGTGTCCTGTACTGGGCCAAGAAATAAAAACCAAAGCAGAGCTAACTACTCATCTTTGACCATCGGTACCTCCACCTGCCCCTATGACATCAGCACAAGCTCACTCATGATTTTGCTCCTGCCTCTGACACTATTAAGTGGGGACTTCTAGATGTGTGACACTTGGCTTCCCACTATGACTGACTGATTTACCCTCCAGCATAAGATTTCAACTCCATGTTATCTACTAACTTGAGGCCCTTTGGAACGAGAAGGGGTGTAAAAGAGTCTAATAAATAACCACCTAGCAGTCCTACCTCTTTATAAAGGCCGCTTTATCCCAGATTTCTGTAAACAGAGATCAGACCAGTGTTAGAGGGCAGCTATACTGCAGTTGACTACTGGATGGTTTTGAAGTCTTCTCTGTCCTGTTTATGCCACTTCCAGATACTCTGCTGTCCTTCCTGAAGCATCTTTAATCTGAGAAGTACAAATGCTTAAAACACACAAGGTGGAATTGAAAATACAACAAAATATCAGATAATGTAGAAGCAAGGAACAGCATTTAGGGAGATAGTTGAGATACTGATATCAAAAGCTACCAAAAGCTATCCCTTCTCCAATTTCTTCATCTGATTGTTTTTAAAAGAGGACGAAAAATCTCAAGGAGAAAATGGTGCAAAAAACTAGAATGGCACTTCTGCTGTTCCACAGATAATGATGTGGGAACAGCAGCTGGTATAACTAATATTGTACCTTAAAAGCTTAAATGGGAGCCTGTGAAGGCATCTCCACTTTCTTTGGTCTACTTCCATTGTAACACAATGTACCACAGGATTTGAGAGAGAGAGAGTCCCAAATTAAATGTCTAGGAAACTCAATTGCTATAGCAAATTATTCAGTGAAATGTCATTTCTTGTCTAAAGTCTTTGGTCAAGGAATTGCATGTAAAGAGATTCGTCCATCACCCACTTAAAGCTGAGCTGTATCAAGTGCTGACTTTGCATAGTATGGTAACACAGAGTGTTTATAGCCAAGACATTTTAGAAATTACCTGTAAATTACCAGTAAATTATACTGTCAATTATCAGTAGTTCCATCTCAATACTGTTCCTAATATCATTAACTCCAGGGAAAATCTAAACCACAAAACCCACAATACAAGATCAAATGTTCTGAAATACTGAGAACTTGAAAAAAAAAAACACATACTGTCATGGAACCAAGCTACAAACCAACTATTTATTCTGCTTTGGTGCAATTAGAGGAAAATATGCATAAGAAAATATTGCAGTTATTATTCCACTTGATTTAGCCACAAACTTCTGCCCAAATTTATGCCTGGAACCCTATCATAGGGATATGAAGACTTAGGACCATCCCAAACATCACTGATGGGCATCTGATTACAGGAAGAAACTCCAGAAACTCTTTCACATAAAGTTGAATTTATTCACCAACATTGTAGTTGCTTAACTACAACTTCAGAATGTAAAAAGCCATGCAAGCAAAAGTGTGCACTACATTTTGGAATGGAAACAGTAATACCTGGGGCCTGATACAAAAAGAGATAGACACAGAGAGAGGAAAGCATCTCAGAACTTTCCAGCTCCAGTAACAATGCTTTTTAAAAATACCATTAGAGTTCTTTAGTAAACTGCTTTTCACTTGAGCATCCTTAAGAGATTTCTCTTGCTCTCCACCAAGAGATGTTTGCTCATGCTGTGTATCCTCGATGTGTTCCTTTATTGTGATTTTCATTTTCCTGGGACAAATCATCCCTTTAGGCAATTATTATATATTTCAAAAAACCTCAATTCTTCCACATACCCCAGGCTCCTGGTGAATTTTCATCTATGGAATTTTATTATGCAAATGACTAGACAAGAAATCACATCTTCAAGTTTCAAGAATCTGTAACAAAACTGAATTCAATTCAAACTTTTAGTAGTGGAAGAAGTAGAGTAGAAATACTATACTTGAGAGAGTAAAACTGGTGTGAAAGATCCCTCATAACTTCCACAGTTTTCTCAATTTTCTGGAATCTTTAGGAATTTTATTTTATTGTATGTTAATTTATTATGCTTGTCAAGCAGGGAGCTAGATAGGTTTCACTGGATGTTGGAAATAGGATACTGCAACCAATTGGGATCCTTGATGTCAAAACAATAAAACTATGAAGAACTCATTTCATCTCTCCTCTCTTCTCTGGAAATGAAAACAGTACACAATCAAGTCCATAGGTCATCAAGAGGGTAAGTAGATTTGAGGAATCAACTTGAAGAAACAAATGTGGCAGAGACGTTTTACAGGTTTATTTCTTTAAATTTGGGAAACCCAAATTCTTCCAAAGAACTCTTACTGGAACCTATTAGGACCCAATAAAGTTTCATTATATATGAATCTTCTCTGGTAGGTCATTTGCAGATTCAAGATAGTTTCTCGTACAATAGGTACTTGCCGTGGAATGGTAGGTCTTTGTCAAGTACTTAAGCCATACACAGACCAAACCACAGCTGGATATGCTTCCTGCTACATATTTAGCAACCAAATTGTACTGATTTTACCATAGGAAATGGGCAATTAAAATTGTAATAGGATGGTAAATGGGACTTTTTCTAGGGTTGCCAGACAAAATACAGTATGCTCAGTAAAACATAATTCCACATAAACAATGTATGCCATGCAAGACATACTTACACTAACGAAAAACATGTTTATTAAATCTAACAACTTTCATTTACCCTCTTGTCTGGAAAATTTAACTGAAGTCCCAAAGCTGAAAACACAAATATAAAGATCTGAGTATCCCTGAAATGATCGACTATTCACAGTTGCCATCAGTTTGGATTCTTTGGCTCAGTTTGGAGTTTTTAAATTCTTTGTATATTTCGTATATTTGTATATTCTGGTCAAACTAATTTCTCTATGAGTATGTTCATATCTGTTGTCTGCTGTAACCTGCAAACTCTTGGTCCTTGTTTTCTTTGAACCTTGAAAACACATAGAAGAAGTTCTGTAAATGTTCACTGAAATAAAATGTTTGCCTGAAGCCTTCTACATTGATTCCAGACTTCTCTTCCTAGCTTTTAAGAGCATTTGTAATCAAATCTCAGCAGGAAAACTTTATTTTTTCTTTCTTCTCAACAAGAGCTTCCTGATGTATGAAGCTTTTGTTTCCTGCTGTTTGCCAAACAAGTTCTGCTCCTCCTGCCTCTCTATCCATGCTAATGTCGGAGCCCAAACCCCCTCCTGTAATGCCTTCATAGGTGCTTGCATATTCCCTCAAATTTGAGTTAAAATCCAGTGCAAATACCACCATCTTAGGGAGACCTACATGATTATTCCATCCAACACCGTCTCTGTTCCATGAAATTTCCATATTAGCAGTTAAGGCATAGCACAACATTCCATCTTCAACTATTTGCTAGATATTTGTCTGTTCATTCAGTCACTCCAACTCTGAGGTCCTTGAGATAACAGACTATGTCATAATTCTCTATTGTCTGCCCTCCAGCCCATTGCTAGCCCAGTGGACATGCCCTACAAAAAGATATTCAATGCTGCTGTTTCTAGCACCTCTTACTAAATCATCAGAGCACAATTCACATTTAATACTTCCCAGAGCAGCTAAGGTACAAGGTACTGGAGGCAACATTGCTCAACCACTAATCCATCCAATTCCCAAAAGCTCTAACTCAGAATGCACTGCTAGGAGTTGGACTTGAATTGCCATCCCCAATGGCTTTCCAGAGACTGAACCCTATGTGCTCATGATAATTTTTTAAAACTTTACCTCAGTAAAAAGAAAAAAATTGTTTAGAGAAAACAGTGTGTGAGACTTCCAATGTATCCCTCCCAAAAAAATTTCACCATTTCACAAATTTCACCACTCATTTTGATGTGTATTTCTCTGATTTGGGAAGCTAAGCAACTGCATAGTTACCAGACATTTGCATTTCTTCATGGAGCACTTCATAGTGTATTCAGCTGCAATTCTCAGTTGGGTTCAGTTTGAAATCTGAGCTTGGACTGTAGTTTGGGGAGCAATAGCTGTGGGCAGCCAATGATGTAATGATGTTGGAGAAGGCAAACTAGAGAGTTTGGTAGGTGTGATGACCCAACTGGGCTTCCATAGTTAATTTTTCAGAATTATCTATTTAGCAATAGCCAATTGAACTACAAATGAGCAATTTAAAACCTAATCTTAATCCCTCTGCTTACATTTGATATTATAGGATTTTGTTAGGATAAACTAATCATGTTTCCAAGACCAAACATATTGGTAAGTGGGAAATTTCCAGAAGGCAATATCAATAAAGCTGTGTCTGCTATTCATATTTGACATTGTGAGACAGACAGAAATCTGGCAAGGGATAGTAGCTGCACTGGGTTCTGGGTAGTGTTGATAGTGGTCCAAAATAATGAATTTGTAGCATCTGCTCTGATTGAGTATGAAGTGTTTAAAGCAATTTCCCTGACTACTAGGCCAAAGCCAGCACACTCACTGAAGAGACTAAAGAGTCAGAAATATTGAATAGAGTTCAATGTTAAACAAAACAAGACAAGTTACTATAAGTCAAACAGATACCATATTAGCTATTTAAAGAAATAATTTTTAAAGATGCTGAAGAGACAAGATATGCCATTGGTTGTATTACTATGACAGAACATAGCAAAAGACAGACATAGAGACTAGTGGGCTTGATCACAGGAAGCTTTAATATCCTAACCAAGAACTGCTGAAAAGTAAGATGCTAGAAAGAGGAGAAATCATGTATTATCTGTCCTTGGTCTAAGAATTATGAAAGTTCTGTTACTCCAAATATAAAGAGATAAGGTCAGACAATAATAATAAAATCCTACTATGCTGCTTCCAGTTCTTAGAATCAGAGTAAACAGGAAAATAATAGTTGTTTGGTGATGGTTTTCTCCACTTTGATATTCAAAGCGATGATTATGGTAACGATGATAAAAACAAGAAGAGCTAATAAACAGTAAGTGCTTAATCTATGCCAGGGCTCTGATCTTTTTAAAACCAGAAACAATTTTAGGGCAGATCATTTCGTGGCATGCTGTAATCTTTCTGGGAAATCTTTCTTGTCTCTGGAACTTCCTGAGGAAGCAGGTTAAAATCAGCATCCTTAGTATGCAAAAGTGACACTCAATTCTAGCATCGTTTGCAAAATGCAGAGTGAGTTCAACCTTTGGCTACATTTTTTTTCATCACTCTCTCTTCTCTGGTCATGGTTGAATATGTGTGTGGCCGTATAAAAGAAGATTATCCCTATAAATGAACTCCATTACATATGGAATAAGAATACTTTCAAACTCTGTCTTCTTATTTAAAGAGGAACAGCTGTGCAAAGGAAGTGACTTGTCAGTTTGGATGCCTAATAAAATCTGTCCCACTACCTAGGAACTACTCTGAGATTTCAGAAAGATTCTAAAGAGTCCTTGTTTATATAGTTATGCTATTCTCAAACAGCTATTTTTATGCCCAACTTATATTCTGAGTAACAAATTTTTTAAAATTCTTGAACTTTTCTGAAAATAATTACCAAATTTTGTCTTGCCATAGCAATTCAGAGAATTACATTTGTATTATTGGGACCTCAGAAGACTTCATTTTATCTTGGAAAGTAAAGAACCTAAAACATTTTCCCCCCACTAGAGAGATATGCAGTGTTGTATCCTGGTACAAGGTCAATTCATTTTATATGATAAATGTTTTTCTCCATATTCTTTTTGTCTATACTGTCAATGTTGAGTCTGGTGTCTAAAGACAACTAGTTAAGAGTTACAAATTCAGCTGTTAATTTATTGGCAAGCTTCATTGTCTTCCCTTTTTTGTGAACTGATTTTGTCAGTTAATAATACTGTTAAAATACTTGTGACAAAAATAATAGCACTAAAAGAGAATTATGATAAAGTTAAATCAAACTTTGGAGAATCACCAGTAGAAAGCATATGTATTGGTTCATTTTCATTACTACAACGAAAAACACAAGGTAGGCTACCATATTTTTGAAAATACTTTTATTTTGGCTTACAGATGTGAATGCACAAGGTCTAGAAGCCTCAGACAGAGCTGCACAGTGTCACATGGTAAGAAGCAGAGAGCACATGTGCCTGTCTGAATACCTCTCTTTCTTTGCCTATAAAGCCAACAAGATGCAATCACTGGGATTCCATTTAATGACCTTATGTAATCTCAATCACATTCTAACAGCTTCACCTCTAAACTCCATATCTGGATTGTCTCTACTCTATTAATACTGTTATCATGACTTTGGGGATTTGATTCCTGTATAATTTCTGGGGAACAAACCATGGGAGTGAACATTGGGAAAGTTCTCATTCACTCAGAAGGCTTTCAGTGAACAAGCGCCAAATTCTGTGATTTCCAGACCTTAGGCTGGAGGAAGTAAAGGTCAGCTAGAGGCAGCATCCGAGGGAGACAGAATGCATGAGTCTCAGAGATGGAGCTGACCATGACCTGTTCCCTGGGAAACAAGTGACATCAGCCTTACCCCAGCTATGGGCCGAGATCCTTGATCATCATAGAAATTACTCACTTTTTAACTTTTCCCAAGATAATTATTGATATATTTATGGCTGAAAGAAATAATGGAAAGATAAACTGTACATTCTTAACCTAATTTTCACAAGGTAACATCTTATGTAGCCTCTGAATGGAATCACTACTAGAAAACTGATCATTGATTTAATCCTCCAAACTTAGTTAAATTTCATCAGTTTTACATGTACTCTTGTATGTGTATATATTTAGATATATGTCATTTTATCACTGCATAAATATATGTGACTACCACAGTCAAGATATAAGGTGGTTCCATAGCAACAACTAATCCATTCTCCTTCTCCATGAATTTTGTTATATTAACTTTATGTAGATGAAATCACAGTTAATCTTCTGAGATTGACTTTTTCCATTCAGCATAATTCACTCCTGATCTATCCAGGTTGTAAATAGTTTTTGTTTCTTTTTTTGTTTTTTAGGCGGAGTTTTTTGGGTGTTTTGTTTTGTTGTTTATTTGATGCCAGAAATCAAACCCATGACCTTGCACTTGCCAGGTAGGTGCTTATGCCACTGAGCTAAATCCTGGCTAGATTGTAAATATTAATAGCTCATTCCTTTTTATTGCTTGGTAGTAATCCATGTTATGGATATTCCACAAGTCATTGAATCATTTACTTACTAACATATATTTTGGCTATTTCCAGTTTGGGCTATCATAAATAAAGCTTCTTTGAACATTACTGTGTAGATTTCTATGTGATATAAATTCTCATTTATCGGGGATATATATCCAAGGATTTAATTCCTATAATGTATAATATCTGTTTAGTTCTATAGGAAACTGCTAAACTATTTTCTCGATTAACTGAACAATCACAGCAATACATGAGTGATCTCTCTACATAGTTACCAGAATTTTATTGTCATTATTTTTAAAAATTATTTTACCCATTCTGATTGGTATGTAGTCTTATCTCATGGAGGGTTTAATTTGAATTGCCTGGATAGCTAATGATAGTAAATATCTTCGTATGTCCTTATCTTCCATCTGTATGCTTTCTGCAGAGGATGCCTGTTATACCTTTTGCCAGTTTTCTAATGGATTATTTAACCACTCACCAGTCCAGTCTCTAAATACAGGATGACCAAAAGTTGCAGGCTTTTTCATTAATTTTTATAAGACAATATAACTGGAAATATAAACATGAAAATTTAATCAAAATTATTCAATAATTTGTGTTTAATAATATCTTAAAACATTCAGAACACAACATATATTACCATACGGACAGTAGTGTTTAGTCTCTTTCCAAATTCTTTCTGCATTATTGTCTTTCATTGAACAATACACCTTACATGACTGCTTTGGCCTTTCTTTTCTGTGGGTGGTATAATTTCAACAAAACATCTACCTATTAATCAGAATGGTAAAGACATCAATGATGGAATCCTGGTTGGCATTTTATTATCCTATATTTTCAATTATTTGGTCTGTTAGTTCTAATCTAAATTGTAAATGACTTTTTGAGCTCTCTTGTTTTGAATAAATAATAAATGAGTTCCATATTCTTTTATCCAGAAGGTACATAAATGTTTTATAAAATACTTTGTCCTCACTGGGCTTTTTGTTTGTTTCTGTTTTAGTTTTTGGCTCTCTAGTCAGGGCTACCCTTGAACCATGTAGCTCAGTGCTATGGATTCAAAACTTGTGGTCAACTTACGCCCAACTGAACTAAATCAGCATGGTACTACATGTAGAGGGCCCACCTGAGGGAAGTTGCCAGCATATAAAGAGATGTGGAGAGGAAGAGTGAGATGTTGTGAGTTCTCCTAAGTGATGGTGTTTGGAGCCATTGGTTCTCCTGGAGAAGCTTATCATTCTGGCTTCCCTGTGATGGATTCGGCCATTGTCATCAGGGGAGCTTAGAACCTCGTTGGTGAGAATGGCTGTGGTTTACTTTCAAGGAACTCTGGTCCTTAGGACGTTGAGCATCGCTTCCTGGCTCCAGAGAAGACATGTGCTGTTTAATCTCCAAGAGGTTTGTCACACTGGCTTCCTGCTATGTACTTGGCTGTTCTCATCATTAGAGGAGCTCAGGACTTTATTGTCACTGAGGATGGCTGTAGTACTTTTCAGGGGAGCTATGATCCTTATTTTGAGTGTCACTTCTTGGCTTCACTACAGAACCCTCAACCTACTGGCACAGCTCCTTCACCACTGGCACAGACGTTCTAGCTTCTACCACTGACCTTTGGGTCTTCCCAGTGCAGATCCATAAAACAGACTTGCATGAGTCATTGTTGTGGGCTTTGGGCCTCCAGCTGGACTTGTGGGAGGCAGTTGTCATGGACTCTAGATTTTCAGCTGGTCTCACGCAGATCACTGTTATGGGATCCAGGCCCTCAGTTGTTTTTTTAGGTTTTTAGTGTTGTGGACAGATTTCCTGAACTTTCTTGTATTTACCTCTGGGTGACCATCATAAAATACTATTATAAATTATTTGTTCTGTATGTAATTGTTCTCCTTCCAAGCCCTGTCTACAACACCCAGGCTGGCCTCAAACTCATGACGATCCTCCTGCCTCAGCCTCCTAAGTGCTGGTATTACAGTGTGCACCACCATGCCTGGCTTACCTTCACTTTTTGATTACAGAATGGCTTGTTAGATGTTGATCAAGTCTGTCAACATTAGCATAGAATTATTATCATTTCCACTATGGGAGCTATTTTAGCTTTGTTTCTTCTTTCAAGTTCTATCATTTCTGCATTATGAATAGTTAACAATAAGGAGACATCATGTTTCATAACACTTTTCCTCTGTAAGCTAACATTTCTCCCTTTTTCAGCTTTTTCTTTTGCAGATCTTTTGGCACTTCCTTCCTATCTAGTCTCAGTGTCCCAAACATGTCCGTTTTGAATTGTAAAAGTGTTCTGGAGAAGTAGAAAACTATCGCTAGTTCTGGAGAGGTATAACAGTTACATCTAATGTACTTAAAATGAAAGTTTTTATTGATTATAGAACAAAATGATAGGTTATTTTTCGCAAATAAGATAAACATTAACTAGTAAAAGAAAATATACAGAATTTATTATTACATTCCACTAGAAATAATTATCAAAAGTAAATACAATATTCTAAATAAAATGGATGCAAAAATAGTCAATATAAAACAAGTCAACCTACATACAAGTGTATCTCCTACAAAAAGAACCGTCTGTTGGAAGGACACCTGCCTGAGTGGTGATAGGGATAGTCAGTACATACACAGATGTGATGCCCAGGTGTTGTTTGGGGTAAACAGCTGAAGGCTTACTTACTTTTTAAGTTTACTTAGTACTTTTCTCATTTCTGAGACAAAAATACCAAAAACCCACAAGTTGAGGGAGAAAGAGCTTTTTTTAGCTCACGATTTGTATAGATTTAGTCAATAGTCAACTGATTCAGAGGCATGGCAGAGGGGCATCACAGAGGAGAACAAGTGATGGCAGGCGGGCAGGACACAGCAAGCTGCAAGCGGTAACAGCAGCAGTCCGTTTTCTTTCAGTCCCTTTATAGTTCATCTAGGCTGCTCGCCCTTCGGACAGTGCCATCCACACCCCGAGTGGGGTACCCTCAATCCCAGCATCACAACCTTAATCTCAGCATCACAGGAGCTTAGATCCAGCCAGCTCTGAAAAGCCCCATTTATACATACATGAGGCTTTGAGAGGACATTTAGACAAGCTGTAACAAAGTTCACATTGTAAAACTCTATATCTTTGAGGTACAAACTTTTTGTCAAATATGTGGTTTGCAAATATTTTCTCACTGACTGTAACTTGTCTTTTCTTTTGATAGTAAAAACTAGAGAAAATAAATTTGCATGGAGAGCTGAACTGCTCCTCTAAAATAGAAAAGAGAAATAGACCAAGTGGCAGTTGAAAAACCTTGGAGGGAGGGCAAGGGGTGGTTTTTTGTTTGGTTTGGTTTTCTTGAAACAGGGTCTCACTACGCAGTTCAGGCTGGCCTTAAGCTCATTTTGTAAGCCAGATTGGTCTTCACCTCACAATGATCCTCCTGCTTGAACCTCCAAGAGGCAGAGTTCTGAAAGAGATGAAGTCCTTCTCACAAGAGGTAGATTTATATTAGGGTGACGTGCTACAGAGCAAAGGTGGATTGGAGGTAGTTAAACTCAAGTGTCAGAGAAAGCCATAGGACACAAGTAGCTACCCAACTCTCATACCTACTCTTGGAAGCAATGGAGATCTTGGAGTTACAACTCCTTGTACCTTAGAATTTAAATCATAAGGTCAAGTTCATATAGATCTTAGGAGACAGGTAGCTGACTTAGGTATATATATACATTCACATACCAGGAAGAGTAAAATATGGATACCTCAAGACATTGGTTAACTTTTAAGTAGAAGGAGAGGGCATTGCTGTTCTATTATTCCAACTTTGATGTTTTATTCACTGTCTAAAGCATAAATGATTGTGTATATATATATATATGTATATATATATATATTTATATTTTTTCTGGATTAAATCACCCTTAAGGTGATTTACTTTTTTATTTGTAGTTGTTGCTGTTTCCTGTTGTGGACTTTAACACAGAAAGCTTTCTTTTTGAACTAAAAGTATCAACAACTATGACTTTCATGTGTTAGATTCTTTTGACAGTGGGATTTTTTTGCATTATGTTCTTATGAGGTTAATTACAAGCGTGGGTAGTGTGTATCTGCCATACAGGAAAAGCAGAAGTGAAATTGGCTGCCATTTATCCTTCCCCAAAATGTGCCCACCCATAGACTCTGCAGCATATGTAGCCCTGGAGTTTAATTTGTACTCTGTGATCTAATCTTCTAGCCACATGCAAAGGTGAAAAATTAAACCAAGAACAGTCAGACTCTAGCCTGACTGTGATCTCTGGGGTGGTTGCAAGGCAAAGAAAAAAAAAGCAATTTACACTAGTAAAGTACTCTTTATCAAGTATTTTAAACAGGAAATATGTACAAGAATGCTGAAAGTGAACTGCGGAAGGCCAAAAGATAGTTTTAGTGGCCATGAATAGTCATGAGCAAGCCAGAATTAGGATAAAACAAGTCAAAAGCAGGAGGAGTATTAAGCAGGTTTAGGAAAACTGATTGTGGACTGGGGGTATAGCTCAGCGGCACAGCACCTGCTTGGCAAGTGTGAAGTCATGAATTCTATTCTCAGTACCAAGAAAGAAAAAGAAGATTGATTGCATCACACAAGGCTCAATCTGCTCCTGCCCTAGGTGTGAGCAACCACAAGCCATTTCCTTTGCTTACCTTCTATTTTGTCTTTTTTCTCTTCCCATCTCCTCCATCTTTCGCAGCAATCCATCCAGGCAAAACAGTCAGGAATTTTGCTACCAGAGCAGGTGAAAATGCGCCTTTTCAAGGTTCTTGTTTTTCCCTAAGTTGAATGTGATAAAAGACACACTGACAGTGTTGTCAAATGTGCACCTAATGACACTGAGCTCTTTCTTTGTCCTATCAAAATGCCCAGATGGAAAAATGTTTGAGAATAGTTTTCTGGCTACAGTGCTCTTCTCTCTTGTTGACTCTAATTGTAGCACCAGAAAAAGAGACCTGTTTTTGCAAACCTCCAAGTAGGATGGTGACTGTAACACTTCGTTAGCTAAAATAAGAAACAACAAGGTCAGCAAGGTGTGAAAGAAGTGGCAGTGTTGTATTTGCCGTAGCTTCCAAAATGGTGCATTTGTCAGGAAGGGAGAGAAAGATACGTGAAAGCATTATCACTGCAGGCTACAAATATAGATGTACAGAGGAAAATACAGTCAAATATATTTTCAGGATGTGGCAAGTAGATGTGGTTCAACCAGAGGAATTTATAGCTGCAACTGGCATTGCTAGCACCATAAAACTGTGCACAGAAGCTGTTTTTAGACTTCAAAGATCAAACAGCTAGATTCAAAACATAGTAGAATAGCAGCCGCTACTTAATAGGGAGCAGGAGATAAAAATAATGTGCTACACTTCATTGGAATCCACCCCATACTTCTAACACAGCAATCCCGAGCAGTTAATTTATTAGAATATGTGTAGTTGTGACAGACAAGGGAAATTTCTATCAGTGATACAAGAAACCGTGGATACCAATCCTTAGCCATCAGTTTAAACAAGACTAAGGTTTCAGAGGAGAGGGCAGGTACAGTGGAGATGAACTGAACCAGAGGAAATGAATTCCTAGTAAGAAAAGGACTCTTCACCCTAGGGTCAGAAAAAAGGAGCCACATAAAAGAATCCACATTTAATATTTTTCAGATTTATTTTTAATAAACAATTGTGTTTCTTATTTAATTAAGAAGATAAAGCATTTCTTGAAATTAACACATTTTCTAGCTTTACTATCAGTCTTGAATCTCACAAACCTACATATTTGCTCCCCCAATCTATTTGTTTAATGATCTCTCTCTCTCTCTCTCTCTCTCTCTCTCACACACACACACACACACACACACACACACACACACACAATCCTAGAAAGTCACAGGAATGCAACTTTAAAGCTAGCAGGATATAAACTAGCTAAAGATGACATTTCCAACTACCTTTCCTTGTCAACCGAAAAGAATTTCTGAATGTGGGAGACAGATCGGTTGAGAAGCTCATAGACGTACATATGTGACACTTCAAGAAAAAAATAGAAAATGAAACTGGGTCTCCCATTTAAATTCTCCCACCAATGCCCCAACTCACACCACAGCATAATAGCAGGGACACATGGGGTGAGAGTGTGGAAGGGAGATGACAAACACATGTCTCAAATATAAATAGAGCTTTGACCTAAGTAACAATTTACTATTGTTGACAGCCCAGCAAAAATCAATAAATAAGTCACTTAAAATGTCTCCTCCCTTTTCCTTAAGTTTTCTTCCCCAATCCAGTAAGTAGAAATACACTAAGCAAATATTTTTATTAATATGTCCAAATATGCTATTCGATGTAGAATTTTATGTGAACTAGCCTCAAGGAACTTTCTGCTTCAAAACTGGGTACACAAACTGCTTTGAAGTTTTAAGATTTAGCAAAACATATTTTACCTTTGCTGTAACACAGGCCAAAAATGGAAAAGTGGAATTCAGCTTTTCAGGCACTGGACCAGGACTCAATATTCCAATAGATTTGCAAAAATGTAGCTGTCCCCAAAACTAAGTGATGCAGACCCTTGAGCTCCTCGTTAAGTTTCCCAGCAGAAATGGTTAGCGTGCTGTTGTTCTTTCAGGCTTCCCAGTGAATGATGCGGGTGGAAGGATGCTGCCAAACAATAATGATGGGAGAAGGAGGGAGAAGCAGGTGAATCCTGGAAGTGAAAAAATTATTTTTTAAGTGTGAAACAACTTTCAAAAATATAACTGGAGAAATTTTGCTCAAAAGGTGACCTGACTAAGAGGCAGAATGAAAGGGTTACATGGCGTTATGGGTTGTGTCTAGATGTCTCCCAAAAGCCTCATGTGGCCATAGGTGGAGCTTTCTTGAAGTGGCTGGATCTAGACTGTGTGATGCTGGGATTAAGGATGCAGTGCCGCAGTTGATCCCTAGTGGATGCTAGGATCGAGGTCCCACTCTGGGTGTGAGTACTACACACCTAAGAGGGATAGAACGTAAGGGACAGAAAGAGCGTTGCTGTTGTCACTTTGTAATGCTTGTTGATTCTTCACTACTTGGCTGCATTTTCTGCCTGCCATGAACTATTTCTCCTTTGCAATCCCCCATCCTTTCTTAGAACCAGCCAACTATAAGCTGAAACTCTACAAACTGCAAACCAAATAAATTTTTCGTCCTTTACTCTGGTTATCGGGCATTTTACCTGAGCAATTAGAAAAATAACTAAGACAAATGGTCAAAATATATTCTATGCCCAAGATTTTCTGACCAGTAGTCCATAGATAAATAGAAAGATCCAATCAAACAGGAGAGTAATCTCCAAATAATAAGCCACTTCACTGAGTATTCCTATTCTACTTCCAGATATAAGACCAGATTTATGATGAGAAAAAGTTCACACACACACACACACACACACACACACACACAAATACACACTTGCGTAAATACCTGAAGACAGAGCATCCTATAGCATGAAAGTAGGAGACAGCAATGGTAAATTCATTCAGAAGGACTTTTTAATTTCCCTGCATTTGTTTTTATCTTCTCTTGCAGTTCTTTTGATGGTGATTATGACTGTATTTTCAAATCATGATCTACCACTGCAGCACTATAATTATGCCAATATGGCATTATAAATGAAGGTTAGCACCAGAAATAGCACAGCAGAGAGGGGTGCAATTTGTCTTTGTGGATGCAAATGTATGTGTATATGTTTATAAGTATTTCTCATTTACGTGGCGTTTGAAAATTATTTGCTAATCCAAGCAAGGAGAATGGTTAGGAAGTAGAATAAACCCTCAGTCCTGTTTTCAACTGAAGAATATGAAAGAAAGAAAAGGCAGGAACTAATGTGGAAAAAGCTAGGCTTAATTTGCACTCAGACCTTCAGTTGTCCACAGTTGTTGGAATCAAAGGCTCTGCTTGAGGTTGGGAATCCATCTGGGGCAATAGAATTCTTCAGCATCACTGGAACCCCAAGCAGTGTCTCTTTAACACCTCCCACCCCCAGTTTCAGTCCCTCTTATTTGCAGGGTGCCACTCCTGAAGAAAATGGAGCCTGATTCTCCTCTCTCCAAAATGGACTGTACAGTGTACCTCACTTCAGATGGATATGACAAGCCTGATGCTATGGGACTCCTAATGTTAGACCATAAACAGACTGCTTCTCTTTTGGATGACTTCTGGCAAAAGCCAGTCACCATTGAATGAGCACACTCATGTAGTCTATGGAGAAATCAGCACAGTGAGGAACTGAGGGCTTCTGCCCGTACCAGTGACTAGCACCAGTTCACCAGCTACATGGCTGAACCACCTGGAAAGGACTCTGCAGTCCCACTCAAGTCTTAAGGTGACTGTAGTCCTGACTGATATCTTGACTAGTTATAACTGAGAAATTCTGAAATTTTTCACCCGAAGAAGCCACTCCCAAGCTACAGTCATATAGAAAATGTGAGAATAGTAAATATTTATTTTTTTAATGTTACTTAATTTTGGGATAACTTGTTACATACCAGGAGATATCTAAAATAGAGTCCTATCAATGTTGTCTACTTATCTATACCTAGTTCATCAACTAGCTTACTATGTGTGCTTCCTTGTATTGCCTTCAAAAGAAGGGAGCATACTCAAAATTCTTGTCACGTATTTTTCTATTTGAAGTCTAGGATATAGCACAAACAAACAAATAATCTATTGATTTGCAAACTCTTCCATCTTGCTGTGTACTGGT